TAGCTCTGCTACTTAGTAGCTATGTGACCTTTGGCAAATTACTTAACTTCTCTGCCTCAGTTTCCTTATCTATAAAATCCGAATAATTGTCATCTCATGGGGTTATTGGGAAGATTACATGAGTTAATTCATATAAAGCTCTTAGAACAGGGCCCAACAGACTAAGCACCAAAAAATGTTGATTATGAAAACTGTGTAATGTTTCCCAGTATTTATAACTGTATAAAAATATATTTTGATCTCACCCAGAAAAGAAAAAAATCTATTTCCATTTTTAGTTATTTGTATTGGTACCAGACACGAGGTAGTACAAATGCAAAGGAGGAGGTACAGGGATCACATCTTCATGCAATTAACCTATTGCCTGAAGACCTGACCTTGGGCCAGGAAAGGAAATCAGAAGGATGATGACTTAATAGTATCTTTTAGAGAGGTATCATGCATCTGATAAGGACTGGACTAAATTACCTGCGGTATTTCCACTGAATGCCTTGTTTCTGTCTTCTAGGTTAAGGTATAAGGTATAAGTTATTTATAGAGTTTCAAACATACAGTCTCTTCCCAAATAGTTTTTTAAAACCAGTAACATTAATGATTTAGCTAGCCACTACCAAGAGGAACAACAAATTCTGCTTATCAAGACAGCCATCACCTTAATAATTTTATACCAGTTCCTCATAAGCTGATAGCAAGCAAGTATAAACAGTTGCCTTAGCTACAACAGGATAAACTGGTGTTTCAGTTTGAAGAATTTTAAAGCAAGCCAAGTAATTGTATAAAATTTAAATTTTATGACCATGTTTGGACCTTTGTACACTTAACACAATGGAAATGTTCATATTCATTTTTTTCCCCCAGTGGAAAAAATTCTGATTCATCACTATGTTGCACAGTAGAATAGAAATATGAGTTCAGGTACTTAGTCAAGTTACTAAAGAATGCAAATAACAGACACGATTTTACTTCCAAAATCTGAAGTCATCAACATGATTCTGTAGTACTATATGTCAGGCTTTACCTAAAAACTCATTATTATTCAGATAAAGATAGCCCCCTAGTCACATTTTTTAAAAAGCCTTTGCCCCACCACAACTTCCTGAGATCTGTGAAGAAACTGCAGTCTTGTGATCAGATTCCATATAGTACTGGCAGTTTTGTAATCCTAGGGAAAAAACGGTGACTGATCTTATGTGTCAATTAGTTGTAGTCTGCTGATCTGATTAGAAGCCTTGACAAATGCCTGGTGGCGATTGCAAATAACTGCCAAGCATATAGGGATGATACAGTAGCCCACCGTTTTGGGATCAGCTCTTGTACAAGAATAAAGGAACAAAAACATCTGTAAGTAAGGTATCAGAAAAATAATCGTCCACAACCAGAAAGGCAGAGAGAGTAACCGAGCTTTCAAGGAGTGTGTCCATGTGGTTCCTTCAAGGGGCTCCTCAGGGTGCTGTTGAATGTGTTCCAAGGCCAGCCTGTTGTAAGTCTCATTGATTTCAAAAACATAGTAAAATGCCGCTGCACTTGCTAAAAGATACAATCCCACTCCAATCCATCCCATCCGCTGACGGAAGTTCATCATTCTCCATGCTCTGTGCCTTGGAGTTTAAAAAAAATACAGTTAGGGTCTTGTAATGCTGTCATAGCAACTATTCCAAATGCACTTGCCTTATTTCCAAGAGTTCTAAAACATCCCAGTAACATATTAAAGATTCAAAATAATTAAAGTACATTGATTAAGAAATGTAAACAACTTACAGGTTGTTGTTTTGTGTAAGTTATGAGCAAGTAAAAAGACTGGTTTCTGTATGTATTGAGGTCTGCTTTTTATGTGAATCCCACAGAATAAATAAATCATTACACGCTACTTTCCTTCCAAAACTGGAATTAAACCAGTTTCCTACGGTACCTTTCACTTTTACCGTTGAAATACTTTCTGGCTTAACAGATTGCTTCAGACGGGAACACTGGGTTGTAAAAGTCAAGCCAACGTTGGAACCCCCAAGTTTAAGACGGTAACTCTTAAACACTTACAATGGTCCCGAAAATCTTCCTGTTCCCACGGCAAGCGTTAAAGAGTCACTCAGTTCTGAATAATCGGGTGGCTTTGGCATTTCAGAGAAAGCCACTATAAAAGAAATCCCCTGGGTCACCCGGCTCGGAGAAAGGTGAGCGCCGCCAGCCTGGAGCGCAAGCTAACTGTGATTAAGTACAGCGTGACTGCAGCTGGTCACGCGGCGGCCCGGCCCCTATCGCCGCTGCCGGAGCCCCAATCGGGGCACCCGGCCCGGCCGGGAGACTCCCCAGCCACCTGGGCCTCCCAGCAGCCGGCCCCGCCCCCTGCCGCGGCTGCAGCGCCGGTCCTAGGCGACCAAAGCTGCTCAGGCAGAGCTAGGCCCAGGCCTTACAGCCCTGCGGCGCCGACAGCGCTGCGCCCGGCACTGGCCGCCGGCCTAGCCTTCCGGCAAATCTGACCAGGTCCCGGGTCTCACCTTCCTGTCCCGGCTAGTCAGCCCGCCTGCTCTCCCGGATGCCGCCGCAGTCGGGGCTTCCGTCTCGGGCCGGAAGCAAGCGCGCCCCGCCCGGAAAGACCCGCCTCCTCGTGACGCCAGGGCGCTTCCGCCGCTGCCCCGCCTCCCAAAGCAAGCCGAAAGCGACTCGAACTGGGACTCGAGCAGGGGTTGCCGCGGCGCGAGTGGGGGCCAGCCTTTCAGGTGAGCGGCTCTCTGGGACTGGCGATCTCAGCGCCCCTCAGCCTTGCCCCCTCGTGCCCCGCTCGCGACTCTGATCACCCCTCACTCCTCGCTGCGGAGAGCCCCGCAGGGACAAGGCGGCACGGCAGCGATCGCCTTGGCCCCCCAGAGCGTCCATCCGAGCCGAGTGGAGCCGGCCTGGCGCCTCGGCCGCCGGGGGACGGACGCGGGCACCCAGCACTAGATAACGGTGAGGGGGAGCGGGTCCCGCGAGCGGCCCTGCAGGCCCGACGTGCGCAGGGGCGCCCGAGCTGGGAGAGGGCGAGATGGCTGCTTGCCACAGGGCGCTGCAGTGTGTGGGCCCAGTGGGCCCGGGGGGGCCTGTACGGGCGCCCTGAACATCGGCACCTTTAACCTGACTGCTCTGTCCTGCAGGCTGCTAGACCTCGGCACGTTACGAGACTCATCTGGGGTACCGCGGAGGATTACTCTGAATTGCGGTGGGCATCTGTGTCCCGAACGAATTAGAACTTAAAATCTATTATTTCGGGCGCCATGACGTTGAGACTCTTAGAAGATTGGTGCAGGGGGATGGATATGAACCCTCGAAAGGCGCTGTTGATTGCCGGCATCCCCCAGACCTGCAGTGTGGCAGAAATCGAGGAGGCTCTGCGGGCTGGTTTAGCTCCTTTAGGGGAGTACAGACTGCTTGGGAGGATGTTCAGGAGGGACGAGAACAGGAATGTAGCCTTAGTAGGGCTTACTGAGGAGACTGTTCATGCTCTGGTCCCTAAGGAGATACCGGGAAAGGGGGGTATCTGGAGAGTGATCTTTAAGCCCCCTGACCCAGATAATGAATTTCTAAGCAGATTAAACGAATTTTTAAAGGGAGAGGGGATGACAGTGAGTGAGTTGACCAGAGCTCTAGGGTATGAAAATGACCCTTTTGACCTAGACCGGGACATGATCCCAGAAATTCGGGCCCCTATGTTGGCACAGGCATTGGATGAGGCTCTTCAGCCTGTCCTGCAATTCCTGAACTATAAAAAGCTGAGAGTATTCTCGGGCAGGGATCCTCCAGAACCAGAAGAGGAAGAATTCGGACCCTGGTTGTTTCATACGACTCAAATGATGAAGGCATGGCAGGTGTCAGATGCAGAGAAAAGAAGGCGATTGCTAGAGAGCCTCAGAGGCCCAGCATTTGATGTTATTCGCGTCCTCAAGATCAGCAATCCTTTAATTACAGTCCGTGAATGCCTGCAGGCTCTTGAGCAGGTATTTGGGGTTATAGATAATCCTAGGGAGTTGCAAGTCAAATATCTAACCACTTACCAGAAGGATGAAGAAAAATTATCAGCTTACATACTAAGGCTGGAGCCTTTGTTACAGAAGCTGGTACAGAGAGGAGCAATTGAGAGAGACATTGTGAATCAGGCCCGCTTAGACCAAATCATTGCTGGGGCAGTCCACAGAACAGTTCGCAGACAGTTTGATCTGCCAGAGGATGGCCCAGCCCCTGGCTTCTTGCAGTTACTGGCACTGATAAAGGATGGGGAGGCAGTTGAGGAGGAGGAGGAGGCCCTTCTCCAGGCAGGATTAGGAGAGCATTTCACCTGAATCTCAGGAAACCAGGAAGGGATATCTGTCAGTAAGTGGACCATGAAAGTAGAAGAGTCTGTATACTCCAGTGACAGGCATCAACCAATCCCTACCTGTGCGGCCAAGTAACCGATTTTTGTGCAGGTCTCAGTATAAACGCTTTGTCATTTCTATGCCCATTTAATGTCTCCTAAATGTGTCATTGACCAGGAAGAGTGTAGTTCTGCACTGCTATTTATTTAAAACTGCTATTATCTATTAGTCCCTGTGAATTTTTTGTCATGCAAAATTATACAAAAGGTCTGTCATTACGTATGTGTAGTGTGCTCTGAGAGGACGGGGAAGGCTCAGGTGCACATGCTGACCAGATCTCATTGAGATGTCAGCTCGTTTGGTAACAGGTGCAAGTGTAGCATGTCACATGTGATGATGTTACATCAGTAGTTTTTAGGTATATATTGCCCTACATTTATGATGAAGATCCTGAGCAGTGGTTAAGATAATTATTTTTTGTATGAATCAGAATTATATGGGTTCTGTGCAATCAAAAGGCAGAATTGAATGCTGAGGTTGATAAGTTTGCAGTGACCACCTTTACCCCCAGATTTCTGATATGTGTAATCAAAGCATCTAGTTCTGAATGTCATTTTCATGGTTATAAAATTATAGTTATAAAATAAAGGAATGCTAAAAAAAAAAAACTTCTTTTATCTGTTTTGTTTATATCAAGGGTCTAAGAAAGATTTCATTTGAACAAAGGATTCCTAAAGCAGGGATCTGAAAACCACTGAACTTACACAGACTTAGTTCCTTGGATTCTTTCTTCTTAGTGCCCAGGGGATAGGAAATCTTTTTCTAAGTGAGATTGCTAGAGGGACCCTCTACTGAAGCAGTTAAACAATGGAATGAAACAAGACAGCACACAAATTAGCAAAAGGTCCAGACACCTCAGTGTATTGAATTTGGAGGGAGAAAGGAAAGAAATGAACATTGCATGCCTGTGCATGGCAAACTAGACTAAAAAGTCTTTCCCTGTACTTTCTCATTTAATCCTCTTAAAAATCCTGCAATATAGGAAAATGTAGTTTCACACTTATGGAAATGAGCACAACAGATTTAAAAACTTGGCCAAGGTGAAATAACTAGTAAATGGCCGGGCAAGGCCCATGTTCTTTCCAGTGCCAAGGAAGAGAAGCCATCGTGAGGGTATCTATACCAAACAGCCTCACAAGGGAAGCAGGGCAGGTGCGGGCCATATTTTGTAAATTTATATCTCATATGCATTGGATTGTAGTACCCTTGACCTCGAGTAATAGGGGGCTTCGGGGAGCCAACCCACTGCACAGAGAAGTTAAGTAGCTTGACCAGAATTTCACAGCTAATGAGAGACAGGGCCAGGATTTACACTCAGGCTATTTCCAGAGTCCTTGATCTTAATCTATTCTATTGCTGCCTTGTTAAATCCTAACAGAAACCTGTCAGACACATGCTATTATTTCCCCCATTCTACAGATGAGAAGCTTAAGGATCTGAAAGATTTAATTTTAATGTCAGGCACAAGGGCACAAAGTCTGATTCCAAAGAGCTTTTCTTTCTTTTTTTGCGGGGAGACAAGGTCTCCCTCTGTTGCCTGGGCATGAGAGCAGAGGAATGATCATAGCTCACTGTAACCTCAAACTCCTGGGCTCAACTGATCCTCATGCCTCGGCCTCCTGAGTAGCTGGCACCACAGGTGTGCATCACCATGCCCAGCTAATTTTTCTGTTTTTTTGTAGAGACAGGGTCTCATTATGTTGCTCAGTTTGGTCTCCTGACCTCAAGTAATCCTCCCACCTTGGCCTCCCAAATTGCTAGAATTACAGGTGTGAGCCACACCACACCTGGACTCCAGAGTGTTTTTCTTAAGGTGTTCTGACATGTATCTGCTAAGCACTACATCTTTTTTTTTAAGTGGCAGTTACGTTTATAAAATCATGTGAAATAATAAAAATATGTATGTTCTTTAAATAGCTATGTTTAAAAAACATGACTGACAGAGTATTAAAATGCTAACTGGTTATATAAGATGATGATATTTTAAGAATAATTTGTTTACTAAATGTGTTGTTTATTTTATCTTTTTTTTTTGAGACAGG